TACAAATTGCGAAAGAGGTCCGTGACTGCAAAAAGTTTAAGAAACCCTGGTCTAATGTCAGATAAACAAAAAAAAATCAAGAATGGGACTTCGAGATAACGCCATTCGCAGCCTAGGTAGACTCGCTGATGGAGTGATCTCAAACGAATAAACACTAACTGAATGTAGCTGAAAAATATATAGGTTGTTGATGATGAATACTACTGCTTAACTGTGTAAATCTATGTTTAATGTGTACATCTATGGGCCACTATTCCGAACATTTTATTCATTGCCTATTAAAAACCACTGCGGCCTATTCTATGCTAGATCACCGGCATATCTTCTGTCTCCTGCAGACTTGCAGACCAGCATATTGTTGTTTAGAAAATATGCTTTGCTGTTTATTATTTCTTCCCTTGAAAGTATCAATTAAACAGAGTCATTTAGTACAGTACGTAGACTTACAAGAAACTTTTTAAGTTTATGGTACAGGATCATTTTAATGGAGAATAGACAGTATGAAAATATCTCAGGTATATCTATATACAGGCGATTCTTGTTTAGAGCAAGCGGTTTTTACAAAAATCTTTTTGTAAAAAGGAAGACCAATCATTATAATATTGCCAGATACGCTAGAGCCTTCAGTCATCTAACTGTCTAAAACTCAAAAATGTAAACCATCACAGATGCAGAATTCCCCTTCCTTATTTTTATTCCATTCGTTTTCCTCTGATATTATCAATTGTCACCTCCAATGTATTGTTAAAATGGCATCTACTGGGTATGCGGTTTATTCACCCATCTATTTCTCCGAACACTACGTACTTAAAGGCAAAACTTGGGTAATATATAATTTCAATCACCGAAAGAACTATTGTTTTAAATGAAAGTTATATTGAATAAATTTATATATATTTTGTTTATAAAAATTTATAAAGGAACACAAGCTAAATTTATGATATTACACAAAAACATAATAGTGGGTGAAAAAAAATCGTAAATTTGTAGCCTATAAAGACACATAAAACAATAATAACAGTGATTAGTATTAAAAGACTACTAAAAATTTAATGGGAGTGTTTGTAAATATGATTTTTATTGCTAATAACGCTATAGGTATGGTCTTTATCCATAACATAACCAAGATTACACATCATTACGGAATTTTATAGACAAATGGTTTAGATCTCCTTGAAATAAAAGTTTACTTTTTGTCGCGCAATACAAATTGTCATTCATTCAAATATAACCATTTCCTTTGTACTCGACCTATAATACCATAATTATCATCTCGATACGGATTTAATGATTATCATATTTCCCTCAGGAGATGTTACCAAATAACACTAGTTTCCTATGTTCCTTAAAGTAAACCAGTAGGATTGAGTAGGTGCGCTATTAATCCTGAAAGAGAAAAAATGTTTTGACACTGGTCAGCAGCGATATAGCCTAGCGGTTTAAATTCTGCGGGTCGCGTATAGAGAGTGACTAAGAACGACTGCAGTGTTGACAGATTGATTTTTTGTAATGAGTTTAAATATAAAACAAATATTGGAATTTATAATATAAATTAACGAATAAAATTCATAAACTTTGCATTTATTGTTGTTTCATTGATATATAAAATGAGATAATATTAAATCGATCAAAGTTTTCTAAATTTTTGTCGACTGGAAAGTCAGGTACCGGTAGCGGATAGATAGCAAACTAACTTTTAATCCATAAAGATATTTAAAGGTTTTTCATTTTTTCCTTTTCTTATAAGCTTCTTCTTCTAGTGCAAATCCATTAATGGATGTTTGCGATAACATTTTCTATCGCTTCTCTGTTCCTGGCGGTGTTTATTAACGACTATACATCGTGTACACAATGTAGACTATACATTGTGTAGAATTTTTCTTCCTATTCAGTTCAAACAATTCGCGCTGTTTGTTAACACGTCTCAGAACTTCTTCATTTGTTAACCTAACCGTCCAAGGTATCTTCATGTCTTTAGTTTATTAATGGCAGCTACTTTCAATGTCCAACCTTTCCTACCATAAAGGAGCACCGACCACACGCAAGTTAAAAGCTTAAAGCTACCTAAAATTCGAAGTTTGTGACACGTCTAGAAGTACCTTAGAATTTTGATGATCTGTCAATGACAATGATGAGTCAGTGACAAAAATAAAAAAATTTGGCAAGCGATAATTCATAAACTATGAGGTATAATTATTGCTAGATATTTTGGCAATCTAGCCAGCTATAATATGTCCGCATGTTTAGTAAAAATGAATATTCTTGCTTTATCCACAACGAAGTTACAGGGTGGTCAAAAGTGCCACTATTACCTTCGAGAAAAGGATGATATGGCTGTGCTCGACTTGGCTCGAGATGGACTCAGATGGATAGAAATCTGGAAAGCTCAGGGCGAAGAGGAACCCCAGGACTATCAATAATTTTCTATCTTGCCAATCTTAGAGCCTTATCTTAAAATTAACTTAGCCAGAACAATCGCCAATGTTTGAAGTGGACTGGCACCTTAAGAAGAAGACTAAAATTAGTGGTAGGGCAACAATCGGTAGTATAAATCTGCCATTATATAGTATTCATCTTGTTCCATAAAGGAAGTGTTATCTAAAAAGCCATCAGCAAGAATAATTTTGTAAAGAAGGTGGCAATGTCACTTAGAGGTATCTTTGGAAAATGGGTTACGGTAGGCTGGACTTCACTATCTTCTTCTTGCGGTGCCGTGCCTGTCTTCAGGCGTTGGCGATCTCCATGACTATTTCGTGGAAGAGTTCTCTATCTTCTGCTGCATGAAACAGCCTCTCCACCCCCAGACCGGTCCAGTTCCGTATATTTCTGAGCCATGAGAGTTTCTTTCGACCTACCCATCTTCTACCTTCGACTTTTCCTTGAATAATCAAACGAGGAATATAATATTTGGTGCCACGCATTATGTGTCCGAAGTAGCTCACCTTTCTGGTCTTGATGGTGGTTAACAGTTCCCGATCTTTGTTCAGCTGTCCAAGAACATCCTCGTTGCTTATATGTTCGGTCCAAGAAATTTTAAGACTTCACTATACTGCGATTCTCTTATATACTTCACTATACTGCGATTCTCTTATATACTTCACTATACTGCGATATACTTCACTATACTGCGATTCAAAAAGATGAAAGTTGCGACAGAATATTTGTATTTGGTAAAGACATGCGGAGAGGAGACGGCCTAATACCCCATAGACCAAACAAGGATAGACGATTTTTTTTCTTTGCATTTTATCCACAACGTTGACAAACGACGCAGGTATCCGTTCTATCAAAATGGAGATAATGATGGAATGAATTTGTCACTGTAATATGTTAATTTCTTAGTTCATTGGAATTTATTCGTCAATTGAAGATTTCGGTAGAAGACATTCAAAAAATAACCATTTACCTTTGAATTCAAATGATAGAAACAACTGTCACTGTCATGTATCTTTTCGTTGGATAGCATAGACTAATGTCATATGCTAGAGATTGGATAGATACATACCGAATCTTCTCCTTGTTGTATCTACATCCCCTGGTGTGTCACTTGATTTCATTTATGTTAGGTTAGGTTAGCTTAGGTTGTTGGGGTATGGGATCCTGTTTAATCCCTCACTCGGAGACCTTGGATACCTCTGTATTATTGTACCAAACCTTCCTTTCATGTTTTCTTTGTGTTAAAGCACTTCCAGCTCTTTGCAAAGTTCCCGATGTTGCTGCTTCCTCTAGTTCCTCCAAAAAACCTTGCACTAAAGTTTTAAAGCGTCGGTATTCCAGTGCCAGACAGTGGTACAGCAGGTGCCCTATGGTTTCTTCTTCCTCTCCACATTCTCTGCAGTAGTCGCCTTTGGAAATCTTCATCAAACTCTTCATTACCTCGTGAGATGGGCGATTTCCAGTGACGACACCTACAATTATGAGTACTAGGTTCTTTGTGAAGATGTCAATTGAGTGGGCAATGTCCTGTTGGTGTTCCAGTTTCAATTGTAAGATTGGTTTATAGAACATTGCTTCCTTGTTGAGCTACTACAAAAACGCAATCGAAAGATGCGTACAATTTATCTTAGATAGGAACTATCGGAAACAGGAAATAGCCATCTTATCCGATAATCAAGCAGCACTAAACAAACTGAAAGCGGAACTCAATAAAAACTACGATTCATGAAAGGTTAAAGCTGGAAGACTCCATCCGTAACCTGGAATGGGTGTTCTCCAACGATCTAAGACACTCGAAAAAGTTCCTCAGAACTTATGACCGAGAAAAATCAAAGACTTTCCTTGATTTAAGTAAAACCAATCTTCGGATTGTCACGGGGTTTCTAACAGGACACTGTCTCCTCAACGAACATATCAGTAGACTGAAGCTAAGAAACAACGGCGAATGCAGATTCTGTGGTGAAAATGGGGAAACACCGGAACACCTTATCACTGAGTGCGCCGAGACGACGACCGTTCGTGCCATGAACTTTGGTACGGCTGATGACGAGGATGGAGAACTGGCCTCTGTGGAGCCGTCTGAGATACTGGCTTTTGTTAAAGCCCTGAGACTGTATGATGAGTTATAACTCGTTATAACTAAAGAAAAGGGAACACACAATAGATCTGTAAGGTCGCGGTGATTAACTCCCCTCTTAAACATTCTACAATCTACTACAAAAAACGATTAAAAATCTTTAATTAGATGGAACAAGAAAATCACTATATGTAGCAATGCAAATAGTCCAGGACACAGAATCCTGGCAGAACAAAATAAGAGCAAAGGAATACCCGAATACCACCAAATCCACTAGATTCTAAAGAGTTTGGTGGTATTGCTTTGCCTTCCTTTTCTGCCTTATGGCCTTCTAGAATCTAGAGACAATAAAATTATATAGTCATATTTGAAGTAGAACCTCAACGATAAAAATCCAAGAGAACCATACAACGTTTGACAACGTTGTAAAAGTACCAAGCCACGACACGGTCGTATCAGAGCACTAGCGCGTCATGATACACGGGCGTCGAAACAATGCCGTACTAGCGCTGACATCTGGTTGGTCGGCCGACGACTGACGGTCGTACCCATCGAGAGCTCGTAGAGCGCGCGATTCCCAGTCAGTACCTACTCCATGTGCAGTGAACCACTAGTGAACTTCAGGTTGAATGCCCTTGCTAGCTAAGAACTAGACACAGAGAGCTAATAAAGGCGATTATGAACGGGCACACGTAGAGTGGGTACTACCCGAACCCAAATCGGTACCCCGATGTTTATTGTTGTGTTCGGTGAGGTGCATGTGTTGTTTTTTTCGGGGCTGCTCCGATTTTGTTCATTCCATGGTTCCACTGAAATATGCAGATAGGTACTTTAAGAGGAACTAAATTCGAACATCGATATACCTAACAATAAGTAAGTACTGATTTATAGTTTTTTAGTATTGTTTCTATTTCAATATTTTATAAGATCTGCTAATAAACCCATCACATTTGGACAGAAGCTTAATATTTCTACTATACTATGAGACTATAAAATAAATAATAATAAACAAAAGACCTGAAATGAAAATCGTTTAAGAACAGTTATATCTCAATAATACTGTTAGACATACTGTATCTAACCATTAGTTCATCAAATTTACTAAGAAATTCTATCAAATAACAGTAGGTAAATTTTATTTGTTTTACAACTATGTGTTGTTATTTGATTGAAAATGAACAGCTGATTTTTAAAGATTCTTTTCATTCCGGATTTTTATAATTTTTGACTATATTTTAAAATTAAAATAATACATGTAATTTATTAAAAAAGTAATATGTACTTATACAGTTTTTTAGAATCTAATTTAGTTACAAATTTAAATGTTTCAAATTAATTAAAATAATATTTTTTCACTTTCTGGTACATGTTTCAAATTAAAGATATTTCCACGACTATTTACTTTTTAAAAAATTTTTGCTTTATAGCACTTCCGGTTCAAGCGGAACTGGTTGTTAATTTGGTTATTTTAAATATGACTCCTTATATCTTTTTTTGAATTTAAATTCTATATGAAATTCTACAAACACATTTGAAGGGTCCAAGGGAAAACTTGATAAGTGCCAATTTCTTAATTTTAGGATTTTTCAATATTATAGTTGGTCTAACTGGTCCCTAAAAAATGTATAAACTCTGCAAGACAATAAGTTGTTCAATCCTATGATATAGGGTGAATATGCCAGTGGTTGGACAAATCGTATTTATTGGGAAAAAAGTTAAATATATGGCTTCTTCCGCTTTTTTCTATAACATTTTCTTTGCCGAAATTGTCACCCTGAAACCGTTAAAAATTCTAGAATGCGGCATGTTCGTGCTTCCTAATTTTTGCCTGGTTAAAAATGGAGGTGAGATAGTTTGTAAGGCACTTAAATTAAAAATGTTGTATCTAATTTATGAAGTACTTATAACGTAATGTGTATGTAGAATAGTCTAAACTATTATTTCAAATAACAAAAAAGGATACTTTTAAATATTTTAATGTTAAATTTATGTGTCCGATAAACTCGTATATAATTTTGTTCTAAGTCCAATAACTCTTTTGTTTTACTCATTTTTCTTGATAATTTATATGTAATATCTACTGTTTTTTTGTTTGAAATATAATGAAACATGAGTTTCTGGTATGGTTTAGTGGTCGGACAGCAAAAATTCAACACAAACGCAGATCAAAGGAAATAAAAGTTGTCCGACCACCGATCAACGCTAAATTTAATATATTTGAGAGGTCGGACAGTAGCCCCTTTAGGATGTCATATTGCAGAGTTCAGACTGATTTTTTATGAGATTTTGGTTATTTTGTGAAGCATGAGCTTTGGCATGAGGCCTAAAGTAAAAGGGAAGTTTCATCATTACAATAAAGATGCATTAGAAAAAAAACAGTACAAACTGTCCGAGAAGAGGGAAAATAGCGTAAAACATGCAGTCAGTACAGGGTTCGAAGTCAATCACAGGACCGTATTAAATACAAATAAGCGACGTTTGCAAACGAATGAAACCAGAACTTGTTTTAACCAGAGAAATTGGAAAAAATGTTACCTGGATTGAAAACTTAGCCGTTTGCGGATTTCCAATAAAAAAACAGTTGTTATTTAATACAGTTGAAAAAATTGTATCTATAGAAGAAGAAAAATTGAAAACGCTGTTTACTAATGGAAGTATGGTTTTATGAAGTGCGTTGGTATCGTTTAAAGATGATTGTTTCATATAGATAACATACAACAAAAAACGGTATATACTGTTCAAGATTAAAAATTTGCTTAAAATATGCAAAGTACCGCAAAAAGTTAAATACAAAAGTTATAGGATTTTTATATATCTATTACCGCTTGTTGCTAAACAGAGTTCCAGGTGGTTGAGGAAAAAAAGGTACTATTAGTGTAGGTTATGCCTTGTTTAATCTGGTTGTTTTTATTTTTTCAGAAATTATTATCTCTAATTTGTCTGGTGTTTGTCTCTCTGTCTAATTGAATTTTTCTAAAATTTTGCATTCTGTGCCCAGATATTAGTGCCACTAATACTACTAACTTATGAGATAACAACTGTAAAGATAGGCTTTTGGGTGGGTAAAGACTTTCTAGATATTTTAGAACCGGATGAGGTTCCCAAGTGTTGGGTTAAGGTTAGGTTAGAATATTTGGGAGCAGGAGGTTTTTTTAATACCCCTCAAATTTCTTTTGAGAACGGTATTTGTTCATTATTAAAATTTAATAATATAATGATAATGCGGACCTGTGGAGATTTATGGATGAGAAAGATTGTCCCTTTCAGTACTTAAAAAATGTATTGCCTTATATTACTTAAAAGTAGTTTGGTACTGATCCATTGTTTTTTGTGAAACTGAAGATAACATAGTTTCTAATGCAATTTCTGGCGTTCCTCTTCTTTTGAAAGCTTCCAGGATAATTTTGAGGCTACTAGGGTAGGGTTGATAGGGTTCTTCCATAAATGATGGGGTTTTCTAAAGGGGGACAGAAGCATAGTGTTATTAGGTGTAAAAATTAATGTTTTTTTAGCTATCATTCTAATAAATAGTTAGTTAGAGTACCATGGTCCAATTGAATATTAACTTTGCATGTGAATTTTTGGTACAGAAATTGATTTTAAGTGAACCCTGTAACTGTTAAATGACACAATGAGTTTAAATTACTAGTTTCCCATGCTGATTCTAGGTATAGTACAGGATTGTATAATGCTACCGCGCTGGCGATACAGCTATACATATAATATAAACGATTTCTGTGAACTATTATCGGATATACGAGTACCTGCTACCTGCTCATAATAAATTAGAAGATTCCTACCTTTTATTATATCTGTTATCTTCTTACCTGCTAATCTTTTTAAAGGATACGCATGATTTCTTTTTATTGCTTTTCCATTACTTAATTAAAAATCAATATTTAAAATGATGGCATCAGTTTATTAGGCTATAATCAATATAATATTCTAATTATACCCGTAAGTAGCATTTTTGGACACATTTTAGGTAACGTTTCTAATAATTGTGTCTGTTTCTTGATACAAAATGGAAACGGTTTGCCACAAATAGAAAATATTTTCGAAACCTATATATTTTAATGGCTTTATTACATGTGTTTTCAAAGTGGTGGCGCCAGCCGTTTTCTGAAATGTTTCGATACAGAATCAAAACTTTTAGTTTCGAAACATTTTCTGCAATTTGTGTCCAAGATGTTTCCGTTTTCAGCAGCCACTGTGTCTAAATGTGAAAAAACAAAATACCAAATACGTTTGTTGGTAACATTTTTCTTCGGTCTCCTGTTGGGTATGGGTAGTGGCTGTTATTACATTTATTCCCAATACAAATCATCTCTGTAATGCGTATAATAAATAATTATAAAATCGCATAAGAAAAATATCTGTATTTGTACACACCATATGACCTTCCTTCTGCTTTTTTAATTATAGTAGATACTATTAAAACTAGAAGAATGCTTAAATGCAAAAACCGCAGAACAAAATCCAAACAATAAAGTAAGGTTATATGTTCTCATATTTGAGAGAATATCAAATAAATTATGGAAACTTTTCAGGCAAAAAACGTGTACGAAATCTATAAATGTGAGCCGCATCTGTTTCTTAAAAGTTTCGAAAAATTTGTGACACTAAGTGTGTAAATTGTGACTTTGTTGGTAGCTGTACCGGTATGAGCACCGGAGAGTGATAAGAATTACGAAAATGCAGCTGAAATGACTAAACAATGCTTATGTGTCATTCATAAGCTCAGGACCTTTATCCTTGAAACTAGGGTTCCCAACTTGAGCATCGGCGATTCCGGGACAATTATTTTTAAGCTTTTAAATAATTGAAGCAAGACATTAAATATTAGAAAATAAAATATATTATGTGTGTAGTACACATTTTTTTAGTTTCCAGGTCCCGGCCAAGGCAAAACTTTCGCCGGGACAAACTTTCTGATTCCTGGTTAATCCCGGCCAAACCGGGACGGTTGGGAACCCTACTTGAAACACAGGGAGTAGAACAACCAAGAGAAACTGGGCGGTGGTTCTACTGAGGAACGGGAAATCGTATTCATGAAAGTGTTTCTATTCCGTGGCAGTAGAATATCTTACTCCCCGTGCTTCTGCTAGGATTTTTTGAGGGAACAGGCAGGGAGAACGATATAAACTGACTTTTGATATTTTTAACCTCACTTTACAGTATAATTTGTCCAAATCTTACGTAATATTTCTATATTTTTTGTGATATTTTCATTAAGTTGTTTTGTGATTGTTATTTAAAAATACTATTTATTTTCTTTTTAAGCCTTTTTATTGTCATTTCCCAGCCAACTAGATGCCGTTCCTACTATATTAAATAGATATTTTAGTTGTGTCGTACCATATTTTAAATGCAATCCTCGCGGCAGCCCTACAGTGAATCGTTATCCTTCCCACTTTTGTTTTTTTTTATTTTCCATTATCCATATTCCATATTATTATTAGAGACAACCATATAAATATTTAACTAATTAGTTAAGTAGTTTTTTATACTATATGAAGACCTCCTGGCCAGGGGCGGATACAGAAATTTATTTTAGGGGGGGCCCAAAATTAAAAGTAATGTAGAATGTGCTTTTTAGGGCGCCATTTTTAACCCAAAAGCTTAATATTTAACCCAATTTACAGATTTTAGAGGGGGGCACGGGCCTCATGGGCCCCCCTCTGTATCCACCACGGCTCCTGGCTGTTTATCCTGATTATTAGGAATATAATCACATAGGTATGATATGATTCCCGTATTCTTATTCATCAAAGAAACTGACAACAATGCATATCGCGAAGCTCTCTCATATATTTTCAAGAATTAAAATTTAAACGACAGAGATTTATTTTGAAATAACCTAACCTAGCCAT